CTTCCTCGGGTGAATCCATTTCTACGACTGCCACATTTAATACTTGTAATTATGATTATGATCCGGATTCAGGTTTTAATGAATCGCGATTAATCCAACAACAGCAAACTAAAAATGATAATGATATTATGCATCAAAATAATTGGATGACCTCCGCTGAAGGAAAAGTTCCTTTTTTATACGATTCTGAATTCGGACAATTCGATTATCTTTATAATAGTTCTGGTAGTAGTTATGGCAGTGATAATGATAATGGAACAGTAATACACTCTAATGATAACTCTTGCGCTGTTATTATCGCCAACGATAGTAATAGCATTAATAACGATGATACAATCACAACTTCTCATCAACAACAAGATATGCAAATGCCAAACCTGCATCATAATATGTCAAACACAAAAACTATTATACCAATGATGACGAAAGTTTCTCCTGATTCGCCTTTTCATGAAGAACAACAACAACAACAACTACAACAACAACAACAGTGTTTCTATCAAAATCATAATCATCACTATCATCATCATACTCGCGATGAAGATCATCATCAACAACAATTAGAAACATCTGAAAGAGTATTCCAACCACAGCAACTAGGATTTTATGACCCATATCCGAGTCCATTATCGCATCCTGGAGAATCACCAACAACAAAAGGACCATTGGCATCATCATCGGGAATTATCGGATTTCCTTCTACCCAATATCATAGTCAAGATAATCATCAACACTACCATCACCATCATCAACAACAACAACAACAACAGATTCCAATTGCTGCCACCATTTCTGAGCATTTATCCCCGCAAACAATTGACCGGGATGGATTTTATTATTTTATGCATGCATAAAACTTTAAATAACTAGAAGAACGTATAATATAAAGATTAATCAAAATAATAATTTAACAATACGCGATTTTATATTTTTACATTTAAATAAATTAAGAGAATTTTTATTCGCTTTTATTTACTTCTCTTTCGGATTAATTTTATTTGATGATATATTTTCATTAATTATTATACATATTTTAATTTCCTCATTCCCTCGAAATCTTGTAAAAAGCTCCCAAATTTTATTATTCTTCGTTTTTTCTTTATTTTCTTTATTCGGTTTTTTATCCCTTTTTCTCTCTTTAAAAACATTACTAAAAAAAACACACAAAGAATAGTGTGCGGGCTAACGATGATCTTTTATTTTTATGTATCTGTCTGTCTTTCTTGAAACAAGAAATTGATCTTAAATAAAATTATCAAACATAATAATTGATTAATTTCTTTATCATGAGACATACTGATAAATAATATATCAGACGCGTTAGCTGTAATGCAAGTTTTTTGATTAACAAATTGATTGCCTGGTTTGAATGAAAAACATCTTTGTTCCATTTAAATAAAACAGTTGCTTTTATCCTTCCAAATATAGAACATTTGCGTTTGTGTTGTGTATATATTGTGACACTTTTCTGGAACAATTATTTAAATTTACGCAAATGAACGAGTTACGAACGAAACATAGCACGTCTTCTTCTAAACCCACACACCTCATCTACTATCATTCTAACTCTGAATTTGAACCGCCTCTAAAATCGGCGGAATCCACAATTCTCTCCGCAACCACCATCAAAGAACTCCGTCGTCATGTAAGATTGCTAATTTCCTCGATCCCGGAGGGTCCACAGCGGCCAATAGACGGCGGCTTAAAAGTCGCCGAAATAATCGCATTGGGTATCGAAACACTCGAGAAACACGGGATTAGATATGTGCCGGGTTCTTTACCGGGGCAAATTGGGATTCTTGATACATTTGAGAACAAGATGGCTATTTCTGTACAGAAAAATGATGATGACGCTCCTTTTTACGAAAAGATCTACGGGAACGTGATCGATAATTCTTCGATATCGGAAAAGGGTGAGAATAAAAAATTTTATTTCGGTATGGGTGAGCAAATAAAGAATCGACAGAATCTCGATGAAACTTGTGCTAGAACGCGTTGTGATAGAAAGAGTCTTGTTTCTGAGTCTTATATCGATGGAATGAATGAACAAAATCCTTTTATTGAGATTATGCATTCGGAAGAATTTTTGACTACGAAGAAAGAATGGAAATCCAAAGAGAAAAAAGCGCAAAAAACGAGAACAAAGTACCGAGAGAAAGTGGAGAAAGTGGAAAAAGGCGAATGGCAAACATCTAATAATCACATCAATGATTTTGGCAATTTGAGATCGACAAATAATTCAACTATAGATTTACCACAAAAACAATTAAAAAAACCGAACGAAACTTTCAGAGACAGAATGATGTCTCGACTTGCTGATTGTGAAGCGATCATTGATATCGCTGAAAAAAATAGAATGACGTTATTATCATCAGCTGTTGGAAAAGTTTCAACCGAGAAATTACATGAAAGAATATCTCTATCACCCCTATTACAAACTGCAATCAAAAAAGAAATCGTCGAAACACCATTCAGCTTAATGAATACTAGCGCTAATCATCAAATGGGATCAGAAGCAAGTACCGACTGTGAATTTCTATTGTGATGGAGATGTAAAGATATATGATATTAACTCGAAAGGTAATAAGAATCGGCACCGAAAGCCTTAATAATTCTTGTAAGAGGGAATTATTCCTATTATTATTACAATATAACAAAAATCTCTCATATACGAGCAATTGTTAATTATTTAGAAAAGACATTTTTGTATTGATCATTATTATTATTATTATTATTGTTATAATATAAACCTATTATATAGCTAAAATAACATATAGTACGTTTTATCAAATACAAGAACTCTCTGCAAAAAAACTTTGTAATTGAATACAAATTTCTCAAAAAAAAAAGAATTGAAATATTAAACATCTCACACAAAAGCATCAAAAAAATATAATGATGTAATGTAATGTAATGTGGCGTGAAATATTCGTCGATAAAAAAATGCGGAAATTTATTACCGTATTATTGTTGCAACCTCCATTTTGACCACTTCTTTACGATAAAACTGAAGGAAAGACAGAAAACAAGTTAGAAAATAATGAATGTATACAATAGATATAATATTAAATTTTTTCTTTTTTTATGATGATATATATAGCCCTTTTAGTATTCACGTTCACGGTCTTTATTATATGGTAAAAAAAAAACGCGTTTAACTATAACATAAATGCACGTGAATAAACAGGCATGGGTGAAATACAAGTAAAGTGTCGATCAAATTCTGCCTCCATTACAAATTTGAATTTCTTCCCATTTCTCTTATCGCTTTTCAGTTCAGTCCAAAGCTCAAGACCACAAGATTTCTCTGTTACTTGGTTTTTATTGGATATCCACAATATATTTGTCACTAGCTACTCGTATAAAAACTTTTAATACCATCTCTTCCTGTTTCTAAGCCATACCGATACAACAGAAGTTATAGTGAGTAAATCCGTATACATGGCACCAATCAGAAAAACAAACGGCGTCGTCCACTCCGACGAGACCAAAGGAAAAAACAAAACGCAGTTAAAAAGTAAATAAACTTTTTTCCGCTCTTTACTAGACAACAAATAAAATGTATTAAAAAAAATCTACTCGTAGTGATGGCAACCGCAGCGGGTCTCCCGAGTTGGGGATCGAGAGCCGATCTCGTAGATCGGATAAAGTATTTTTTAAATGAGGCTTTTCCATTCATCATACATTTTTAACATCCCTTTTGCTATCATAGCGATAATAAAAAAAGAAACAAAGTCTTCGAATACGTAACGAATACTAACACAGGTCTACATCGAATAACGCGAAAAGAACGAGAAATCCAAAAGACAGCCGCCAACTTTTTATGTGTTATGTCGGCTGCGAAGTAAATTTTTGTTTTATTCTTTATAACCTCTAAATTCTTTAAATTAATAACAAATATCGATACTTGATATAGATGTCTTTCCACATCATATGAAGAGTATGATGACAACATTTGGTAGGGAATATGTGATGCAAAGATTTTTTGTATTTTTTATGATATTAACAACGGTTCATGACTGATCTTGATCTTTCTTTTAAAGTATCGTTTCAGGTCTCTTGAAATTGAGCAAAGAAAAGTAAGTCTTTTTTTATAAATTTGTAATTTAGGTTTGCTGATTTTCTATCAATATTATAGATTCTAATTATTTTTTTTTGTTGTATCTTGAATTACTACACTTTTTACAAGGTAATGTCAAATTGGAATGGATTATAAATATTCCTCAATTTCCCTCCTAGTTTTTTCTCTTCTTCTTCTTCTTCGTCTTCTTCTTCTTCTTCTTAGAGATAAGTTATATACTAAATAAGTTTAGATTCTTATATATCAACATTAGCGTAACTACTGATACATGTATAACAAGGCGGTCTTTTTTACATTATTAATAAAATTAATATTTAAATTTTTGCGTGATAATTATATGAAAGATGATGGATGAATAATAGAAGATATTAAAAAAATGTTTTGTGTTTATAAGGGAGCGGTACAAGTACTGTAAGTATATCTTGATGAAATATCGCTCGAATGTTTAGAGAAAATTAATCCGATTCTTTTTTTGTCAGTTTAGATGCGCGCAAGCTGGGCACGATAATGAAGTTATTAATCCAATCATCGCATAGCACTGTATTCAGCACTCCCCGTGATAGTATCCTTCACTTTTTTCGATAAGCAAATTTGCGAACTAATTTTTATAATCAATGGGGTTATTTTTTCTTTGTGCCTCTAATATGTTTTAATTGTAGAGTACCATCGATCAGTATTGATCTATTTGTACTGAATGCAGTGCTATACGATATTGAATGTTTGATTAAGGATGGTGCTATGATATATTATATGAGTTGACAAAATTGTGATATAAGGACAACGACAACGTCGGTTAAAAATTAGTGCGCGCAACAATCCAATCTTACAATCTTACAATAGACAATAACAATTACAACAATAATTACTGAAAAATCATATCGATGTGGTAACCAAAAATGATATAACGAAACGTTGCTATACAAATGAACCATTTTTGATCAAATTTCAAAGAAGAACAAATCACAGTGTAGTCCAATTTGTCAAGGAGCATCGCGTTTAAAGGAAGAACCGATTCACCGAGCAAGTTGATCGTCGCAAATTTTCCAATCATAACAAATAAACGTTATAAGATTCCGTATTTTTTTTATTATTCTGTAACGAGCTGATGTTGACTTAGATTTATCTTTAACTTTTTTTTTTTGCTTTTGACAAGAGACTTTTATGAGTAATGTAAATATTGAAATGGTACTTGGTTTTACGGTATCCCTATAAAAAGTCAGGCACGTAAAATTCATGAAATTCGCAAGAAATGGCTCGAAATAGCCGGCATGATACGAACAAACACGAGAAGTGCGAAAAATTTGTATACATAAACGTGTTTTAGTACGATTTTCTAGCGTGAAATTTCACATGTTTCCGAAACGGATTTAAGTATAGGGATTTATCGAATTCCCGTGATGGTTCGGTGTTACGGGGGGGGGGGGTAAAAGAAATGTATCGGTATGATAATAAACAATGTAAATCACAATAAAGTTTCCAAAGTAAACGTTAGAAATGACAAATGCAATATCCGTTCCCTGGATTACAGTGACAGGTGTTCCTGTTACAAAATAAATGACAATTGTAATAACTGCCTCAAGGCCTTAAAAACTACAAAATAATGTTATAATAAATTATAAATGATTTTTGCACAATTATGTTTTCCTTAACGTTTGATTGATTAATTATCATATCTTTAATTTAAAGAACAAGTTATTTATTGCTAGAGAGTAAAGCGCTTCTTTTATACATTTTTGACATTTATAATTACACTGATTAAAAAATTATTAAAATAACTATAACTGTTATAATGATAAAAATACAAATAATGAAAATAATGGAAATAACGAAAAATAAGAAATAAAACTAATACTGTCATGATATATTAGCGAATAATATATAAAAGAATAGAAATTTAATTTATAGGTAATATTTCCAAAGCGAAATTATTTTTTCATTCTATTATTGAAACATTATTGTCTTATTAGTTCCCCTTGTTTAATAACTTGTATTAAAATATTACTACTTGTTTGTCTCATTTAAGCATTATTATTTTCGCATCCCCTTGTTTAATAAACTTTTATATTTCATATCGAGCTTAAATTTATGAATATACAATAATGTCATTTTTACAAGATTTTATATGTAAGGTAACAAGTTCAAAAGAACTTTGTGACTACATACGAGCCAATAACTTTGTTCACAAATATTCCTTCGGCTAATGAGTTATTTTTGGTCTCTCAGTGATTATTTAATTTGCATAGCCATATCATTAATACCTATTTATTAATTATTAACTATTATAATCAAAATGCGTTTAGATTCAAGTAATGTATCGTTAGCTACAAAGCATTTATCATCAAACAATATAGGTTTTTTATGGTTAGGACGTAATTTCCTTGGCTTAAAAGAAAAAATCGTTAAAAATTATATTTTCTGCATCTATTGTCCTAAAATATTTATACTTTCCTCATTATAAATTTACTTTCAGCCGTTTTGCGGTTTTGCGAGCAATAAAATTTCCCGTTTATCCGTTTCTGACAAATCTTTTTTTGGCGATCATAAAACAGATTTGGAAACTATAATTTTAATTGATTCTCTTGTAATTACAATGATACCAAATGTGTTCCATTAATTTCGGGAGATGCTGTTTATCATGTTCATCGTGTTATCTTTTAAACTCGGGCAGATCTCTATTTTAGGAAATTTGATATTACGAAGATGTGGGATATAATTTATAATTAATTAATTTATTAATTACAAGATTTTAAATTCTTGAAGTTTAAATTTTCAATAAATAGAATTTATGCTTTTGTAAGGCAACAAATTTTTGCAAACCCTTGATCTTCTTTTCTTCCCACACCTTTTATAAATAAACGAAAATATTCTTATTAACTTTCTTTGATTTCCGGGAAATCTAAAAAGACGATTTTGTAATATATTTCAAAAAATAATAGCATACGAAAAGAGAAAATTAATACAAAAATGTCGCAAAATAAAGAACAAGCGGAAAAAGACCCAAAAGATGCATCAGTATCCTCATCATCAGCCTCATCTTCTATCACTTTGCCAATTCAAAAACAACGCCAGACAGGTGCAGAGTTCCCTGCGGAAGAAACGAATGAGAAAATAACATCTAAATTAGCATACGAAATAGAAAACACCCAAACTGAAAAGAACAATAATAGGCATATTTTGATTGAAGAAAAATCAAAGAATGAGACAATGTTCAATGAAAAAGTCTCTGCTGAAAATTCACGGAGTAACGATAATATAATGGTGCAAATAACAGGAACAAGCTCTGATGCGCGTGTTTCTAAAGGTTTCATGGCACCTATCGAGGATCATAAAGGTAAACGCGTCTCGCTTGTACCAAGGCGAAATGGCGCTAAAAGAAGATCGCAGTATTATAGTGCAGATTCAACACATAACTTGAGACGATTTAGCACAGCACCACACGTACGACAAGATATGGCGCCTAGACAAAAATATACACCGTGGGTGTTATTTTCAAAACTGGTGACGTTGTTCATATCGGATAAGCTTCTTACAAAGACTGGAAAGATGGAAAATCCACAAATACGACAAGCATGGCGTGAGAAGGTAGCATTATGTTTTTGTATTCTCCTCGTGTCGGCCGCATTGGGTTTCTTTACATTTGGATTGCTTCAACTTTCTTGTAATCAACAATTGAACATGTATCACCAAGTTATCACGGATAAATTTGGTGCTACGGGAGGAAATCAACGAGCAATGATTGTAAGAGGAAAAATTTATAATGTTGGAGATTACTTTCGGCTTGGTTTTCATCGACCGATATTCCCGTTTACTGACGATACACTAAATGGTACTATCACATCAAGATACGGAAAAGAGATCAGTGATTTATTTCCTTTAGATAACGCTGCTATTGGATGTGCATATCAACCTGTATATAATAATGGCGCATTATGCGCCGGAGCACAAATCAATAACTCGCAGCTTCATTGTCATACTTCTCGTAAATCTATTGACACGCTCGAAAGTGTATGGAACGGAAATTACGTGGCATACTCATGGGAAGACATTCTCAAAAACAAATATTTCGTATGGAACCAGAAAGTTTATGATGTTACTGAGGTGCTTGCTAATCCAAATCACTGGTTTAATGACAACTCTACACGTCCATTGCTCTTATCTTTGCTCGGAACCGACGCGACCATGTTCCTTACTCAACAGAAGGGCTTGTCATCGACAACAAATTGCTTTGAACATTTTCTCATTGGAGAAGTTGATGGTCGAGGGGTTGGCTGCAGCATTGCTAATTTAATAGTGATTTTCTTGACCTCAATCTTTACTGTTGTCACGTCTATCAAATTCTTGTCGGCAGCGATTTACGAGTGGTTTATCACTGAAAAAATTTCCAAAGTTTTGGCAAAACCTAAATCTAAAGAAGAAATAAAATATGTGGTTATTTTGGTTCCTTGCTATTCTGAGAATGAAGAATCAATGCGCGCCACACTTGATTCTCTTGCAGCAAATGATTATTCAAATGAACATAAATTATTCTTCGTAATTTCTGATGGTAACATTACTGGAGCAGGAAACGACAAATCGACACCGGAGATATTAAAAGGTATCATGGAAATTAAAGCCCCAAAGATTGGTGACCCTGAACCAAAATCTTATCTAGCATTAGGGGATGGTACAAAGCGACACAATATGGCACAAGTTTATGCCGGTTATTACAATTATGAGGATCAACAAGTCCCCATGATTTTAGTGAATAAATGCGGAACACCCAAAGAACAGGAGGAACCGAAAGCAGGAAACCGAGGAAAACGTGATACACAATTAATTTTGATGCAATTAATAGCTCATGCATTTTACAATGAGAAAATGTCAGAGTTGGAATTTGACCTCTTTGAAAAGATTCGTTTCGTCACCAATGGAGTCACAATTGATAAATATGAATTGGTCACGATGGTGGATGCCGATACTTTAGTCAGTCGTGAAGCTTTGAAACGAATGGTGGCTACTATGGAGAATGATCCAAAAGTAATTGGATTATGTGGTGAAACTAAATTATTAAACAGAACTCAATCTTGGGTCACAATGATTCAGGTAATTATTGTTGTTTATTTAGATGTTAATACTTATTATGTATATAGAGACTAATTTTTATTTTTCGCAAATAATAGATCTTTGAATATTATATTTCTCATCATTTAGGAAAGACTTTCGAATCAGTATTCGGAGGCGTCATATGTCTGCCTGGATGCTTTTGCATGTATCGCGTCTTTGCGACGAAATACGATGGATTGCGAGTTCCAATTCTAGCAAACCCCGATATTCTAAAAGCTTACTCGACAAATGATGTAGAGACACTACACCAAAAAAATTTATTACTTCTAGGCGAAGATCGTTACCTCACAACTCTAATGCTCAAAACGTTTCCAAGGCGAAAAACACTCTACTGCTCCACGGCAATCTGTCATACATTAGTCCCCGACAAATTCAAGGTTCTCTTATCCCAACGGCGTCGTTGGCTCAACGGAACCGTGCATAATCTAATGGAATTAGTAACGGTCTCACAACTACCCGGAAAATTCTGCTTCTCCATGCAATTTGTCGTGTTCCTAGAACTGTTCGCCACTGTGACAACACCTTTTGCCGTATTGTTTCTGACTTATTTGGTGGTTGGAGCCGCACTGGGACAGTCTGTCGCGTTGCCGTTTATATATTTCGCAGTGAGTTTGCTGCTTCAAGCAGTATTGGTTATGGTCACTTCGCATAAGCCGTTGTATATTGTTTGGTTCATGGTGTTTATAGCGGCATTTCCTATCTGGAATTTGGTTGTGCCGTTATATGCATATTGGCATTTTGACGGTAAGTTATTCGATTGTTTTTATATATTGGCAAGAATATTTTTGGTGTTTGAATTGACATATATGCTAAATGTTCGCAAATAAATTTTGCAGATTTCTCTTGGGGTGCAACACGCAAAATAGACGGTACCGACACGGGTCACGGCGGCAACGGTTCATCAGCTGATTACTTTGATCCACGTGTAATAAAGTGGAAAAAATGGGATGAATGGAGGAGTGAACTCCCCACATACAGTTCTCTTTCAACAGCCAACTCGGAAACTGATAAAGAATCTTTTATTGCTGAAACATTTGAAAAATTGACAGGAGAAGCTTACAATAAACGTGATGCTAATAATGATGAAAATGTTTGAGAATCTCAATAGGGAGTGGAGAAAAAAATTCGAGGGTAAACATAAAATATAATCATCCTAATAGATGTATAATAGAAAATTGAATTCAGTTAATAATTAATAAAATGAATATAACCTAACACAGGGCACTGCATGCAGTAGCCTCAGGATTTCTTATACTTAAAAATTATATTCTACCAAAGGGGCAGGCAGTGCATGCCGAAAGATAAACCGTAATTTTTTTATATATAATAGATGATTAGTAAATAGCGCTGTAATGTACCCTTCCTCTAGAAATTTTAAACTCATATTTTTTAGTAAAAACCATTTATTTACTGTAAGATGAATAATTCAAGTTTTACAGGACTTTTAACTCATAATAATGCTGAAATTCGGCAAGCATATGAGTTATGGTTCAAATTCTTGAGAAAATTCAATGAGGTGAAAGGCGTTATACCGCAGTACCGCAGTATCGCAGACCGCAGAACAAATATACATCCATCAAAGAAAAACTTCAATTTATGAAGAATATATGGTCTATGGAAATTGATAGCTGTTATTGTAGCTTTAATATATATGAAAGTGAATCTTTCTTCAAATCATTTTTCCAAGATACTCAATTAAACTCAGCAAAATAAATTAAGCTAAAGCGGAGCCCTTATATGTTATGTGGCTGTGAGCCGTAGTAATATATTAAGCATATTCAACACGCTTAAAGTTATGTTTATTTTTTTTTATGCAAAAATCTAAAATGAGCTTATGAATATCTCACATTTACTAATGCTTGTAATCACAATTACATAATATACCCCGACTTCGCGAGAAAATTTTTTTCGTGTTGTGTAACTCATAAGATTTATAAATAGTTTTTTTCGTATCAACTGATTCTTCACTCGTTAATAATACCCTTCAACGATAATATTACCCTTCAACGATAATATTACCCTTCACGATAATATTACCCTTCACGATAATATTACCCTTCAACGATAATATTAACCCTTCAACGATAATATTACCCTTCAACGATAATATTACCCTTCAACGATAATATTAGCAGTAATTTTAAACAATAAAAAAGTCAACATGTTTAATATTCGTGAGGCAGTGTCCGAGTGGGTAGAAGAGAAAGGTTCAACGGAGGCCAGAGAAGTTGCGAGGTGGTTCAACATTGATATCAATAATAGCAACGACAAAAATAGCAACTTTAACATTCGCAATGCGGTAAGCGGGTGGGTGAGAGAGAAAGGAACGACAGAGTTTCGAGAAATGGCGAGTTGGATGGGTTCCTTTTTCGGTGCTACTTCCAGAACTGGAACGACGAACAACCCAAGCGAAGTAGCCTTCGATCAGGCGATAGAGGAGGAAAAAACAAACCTAGTTAGAGATGATGATCAATTAGTCGTTCCTGAAGATGAGGCAGAGTTGCAAGTAGACGAGCGGTTAACCGGCCGGCAAACCCCCTGCGAAGCAATGGAGACGAGTAAGCAGTCTTTCGGAAGGAATTTGAGGAGTCAATTGGAGGATCCGGAGCATTATGAAGCTCAAAGCAAGAGATCGGCGAGAAAAAGGCGAAATACGAAAATGCGCCTAGCGGAAGCTGACGCCTGGTTCGCGGATGAGTCGACGGTTCAAAATAAAGAAGCGATGAGCATGGCCAGCAGTAGTACTGCCAATACCGGAGAAAGCAGTAACAGTCGGAAGCGGGAATTAGAAAGAAACGAGGAAAATGAAGATGAAGGAGAGAATAATAAAAAGAAACAGGAAGTAAGTAAGGAAAGCGAAGATGAAGGAGAGAATAATAAAAAGAAACAGGAAGTAAGCGAAGCTCCAAGAAAGAGAAAAAAAAGACGAGGTACGGTAGAGCTTCTAGTGGAAGCTAAAGCCCAGATTGTGAGTAAGTCGATGGTTCAAGGTGAAGCGACGAGTGTGGCTAGTAGTAGTACTGCCAATACAAGAGAGAACAGTAACAAGAGGAAGTGGGAATTAGATGAAGGAGAGAATTATAAAGAAAAACAGAAAGTAAACGTAAGCAGTAACAGTCGGAAGCGGGAATTAGGAAGAGATGAGGAAAACGAAGATGAAGGAGAGAATGATAAAAAGAAACAGAAAGTAAACGTAAGCAATAACAGTCGGAAGCGGGAATTAGGGAGAGATGAGGAAAACGAAGAGGAAGGAGAGAATGACAAAAAGAAACAGAAAGTAAATGTAAGCAGTAACAGTCGGAAGCGGGAATTAGGGAGAGATGAGGAAAACGAAGATGAAGGAGAGAATGACAAAAAGAAACAGAAAGTAAACGTAAGCAGTAAGAGTCAGAAGCGGGAATTAGGGAGAGATGAGGAAAACGAAGATGAAGGGGAGAATGACAAAAAGAAACAGAAAGTAAACGCAAGCAGTAACAGTCAGAAGCGGGAATTAGGGAGAGATGAGGAAAACAAAGATGAAGGAGAGAATGACAAAAAGAAACAGAAAGTAGACGTAAGTATTTTTCCTTGTTCTTAAACTTTATACTAGAGGAGTGGATAATAGGTGACGGAAGGAGATGATAACAGAAACGTTATTATAAGAACGACGCAAAGGATCGTACTTTTTGTATTTTAGTAAGTTTATAAAAGAAAGTATATTCTTTACAATTGTCAATCAGTGGGAAAGATTTGTCGCATGTCAACATCGCTTTAGGTGAATCATCAATTCTGAATAGATGAGTAATTAGATAAGATGGACTTTTCGCTCTTGATAGCCAGTTCGGTTTCAATCAACTTTATACGAATATTTCGAAGCTTTGGTTGAATGAATAGAGCGTATTTCTCTGGCAAAAAAATTCGATAGATTTTCATTATTATCTGTAAATTTAATTTTATCATTGAATACTTTGAAATAAAATCACATTTCTTCAGTACATTTTACGTGTATATTTTCTGTCTGCGAGAAGATACACTATAACCTCTCGACCTTCGGTATCATAATCTTCAATTGTTGATCGGAAATAGATTGAAATAAACGCGGTTGGTTTCTTTTAAATAAATCTTTTTATCCCACGGTCCTGCATTCCCTATTATATTGGCCATCATAAATATGTAAGCATCATCGTGTCTTTTTTTTTTACATTGACGCGTTTTTTAAGATTTATAATGTCAGCCGGTGTTCAATTCCAGAGAATGACATGAACAAAAACAAAGAATATTAACCATCAATATGTAGACATTTCCAAATTACAGCATGAAAAATATTGCGTCTTTTTTTGTGATGCCAGCCGGTGTTAATTCCAGAGAATGACGCAAAACAAGCAATTCATTTTATTTTTACTCATCGTTACAACTCACTAAATACATTTTTCATTTACAATTAAACCTAATTATTTATCAATATTGTTTTGTCCTCCCTTTCTATTACCATCACTTTCATCATCACTCTTATCTTCCTCCTCTTCTTCCACCATATAATCGTTCTCGTATAATGACTCCATCTGTAGAAACGGCTGGCTTTTTTGCGTACTAGTACCATTATTATATGATAAGGATCTGTGGTGACGTCGTAATTTGTGCGACACCAATTCGGGAAGTGAAATACGACGGAATCGTTGATTATTAGGATTATTATTAGAACTATTAGGATTGGGACCATGAGTATTAGTGTTATCATTCGAACTATTAGATAGGTTTGGATTGTTCTTCGTCGTTGTCATAATTGTGATGAAAGGTAAAGATGAAGAGAGTTTTGAAAAAGATGAAGGGGGAGGTTTTGATGTTGTTGCAACAGGTAATGCTCGTGTTGTTTCATGATTGCTTTTACTATTACTATTATCATTAATGTCTTTATTGTTTTCATCTATAATAGAAGGATAGCCAAAAGAACCATAAGAAAGGGGTACTACTTTAGTAACTTTAATGTGATCCTGTCCTTGTGACTTGGAGGTTTTTGGTAGTAATGATGACGAAGATGTTATTATTTTTGTAGACGTCTCTAAATCATCTCGTATTTCGTCTTCTTCACCTGACGATAAAAGATCCTGTTGACTGCCAGCAGTGCAACAATAGATTCTACCGCAACCACCAGCACAGCTTGAAAAATAAACTAGCGATATAGCAAATACGGTCCAAATAGGGATCAACAAAAGAAGACCATAAATCAGCATCCACCTTTTTTCGATTATTGATTCCACAATCATTTCTGATGTCGGCGTCGACGTGGTGATAGACGATTGATAATTATTGACGATCACATAAACGGATAAATGTGCCACCGTTATCAGTAATCCAACAAATCCTTGAAAAAACCAGAGCTTGTAGTCGGCGATCTTGTTACGTACGTTCCATAATTTCACGAGTAGGAAGATGTAAATAGTGAAATAGTAGAATATTGATAGATTTATGATCTCTAGCCTGTCGTATAATTTTCGATGTTTGGTATGATCATCGAGATTTTCCGTTGTTAGACTTAAGAGAGTAGCGGGAATTATTGTGATTACTATGATCATTGATAAAAGGATAATAAAAATAATTGGGCGCGATGATGATGGAAGAGGTTTAATCTGATTATGGATGGTGATGGCATTAGATGTTGATTTTCTCGTTGCAAGAGAAGAATAATAATGAGCGTGGTAATAATAATAAATGTAAGAATAGAGAAGGGGAATTAAAGATATCGAGAACCAAAGTAAAAATCCGAAAATTGATAAAGCAGCTTGTCTCTGTAAATGATGATTATGAAATGGATCGTAACTTTTCTTCGGTCTTTGCTCAATTTCTTCAATTTCCTCAATTTCACATATCAGCCAAATGAATCCGGCCACGAACGTCCATGCAATTGTATTTGGTCCTGGTGGTTGAATTATCATCGCATTTGATGACGGTATCGACATAGACCTTTTGTGGTCCATAATACTTTCTTATAAAAATATATAATGATAAAGTCAATATTGTGACATCATCAGTTTCATTTAAAAAAAATTATTAACAATACATTATTGCTTCTCTTCAGTTGAGACCGCTTCTCGTTCTTCGAAAATAAAGAAATTAAAAGATTTTTTTAATAAGATTAAATAAGGATCATATCAAATCTTTCTCTTTTGTCCCGACACAGGAATATTATAACCAGACACTTTTTTCAATAATTAGCACCCAAGAATCATCACTATACCCACACAAGAGCGATAGTAATGTGGGATAAGCTAAAAAAAGTATTACTATTTCCTTAATACTTTTTTTATACCACAATTAGGGATAATGCAGGCTGAATTCATCAAAGATGAATAACGTCAAGTTAACGTTACTGGAACATTTATTCTATCGTTATTTGGCAAAACACTTACTTTATTAATTCATATTCTCAGATCTTTTTTTCTCTTGTTTATAACCAAGTTGATATAAGGTGCATGCACATACATTATCTAACATTACATGTCAGCCCCGCTGGGGCGGAGAAAGAGTGATTCACATGTACAATCCTATTTAGCCTTTAAGCACGTGAAAAAGAAAATTCAGTGTATAACAAACGTGACTTTTAATGACATGGGTAATTTGTAACCTTTTTTTTCACATCCTACCGCTACGTAATGTGAGATTAAAGAGTAAAAGGTGCGCGTTTTACGCTAGCCACTCATCATTCATCTGCGTAATGTGAGATTAAGAATAAAAAGGTGCGTGTTTTTTGCGAGCCACTTATCTTTGATGATGTCCAGCTCGATATAGATAACGATACAATGTAATCTTCCATATTCCTAATTTATATTTTATTCCCAACTAATATTTATATGATAATCTATCTTTATCGCCAATTTATTATCTTGCTCGTTAACGAAACTGAACTCTAATACTAGTCTAATAAGTATAACAAAATGGTCCAAGCTATTGCTACACTTCGTCAAAACCTTAAATCGGGAGTCAACCCTGCTAGTGTTGAGCCTTATGGTACTGTAGTGTTCGCCGAGGAAGGTGACAAGACTAAAATTGACGTCGACATTGTCGGGTTGGCGCCTGGCGAACATGGCTTTCATATTCAGTGAGTAATTATTCCAATATTAATATGTTCGTCGTTACTTATTTTATATTTTTTAAATAGTGAATTCGGCGATCAAACCGACGGCTGTGTCTCGGCTGGTGCACACTTCAACCCGTTCGGTAAGACTCATGGTGCACCAACTGCAGCAGAGCGTCATGTTGGTGATCTAGGAAACATTACTATTGGCGAAGACAAAAGTGTAAAGACTACACTTTATGATGGTCAGATTAAACTGACAGGAGAGCATTCGATCGTTGGGTGAGTAAGGGTTAGGGTATGAATGGTGAATTGATTACCATTAAATTTGATTTTTTGTTTATCAATCGTATTATGCTTTACATAATTAATAGACGTTCAATTGTTGTACACGCTCTTCGAGATGATCTTGGTCTGACACCAAATGATGCAGAAAGTCTCAAGACTGGCAATGCTGGTGCTCGTCTTCTTTGTGGTGTTATCGGTAGGACTTCCTCATCTACGATTATTATTAATAACCCTAACCCTCCAAAATCATCACTCTAAAAAGATCCATTCATCCTCTCTCTTTACTGTATATTTCAATAATCTTATTGATTAATGAATTAAAAACGATGATGGTTTTTTTAAATCAATTGGTTAATAATCATAACAATACGTTACTTTTTACCTTTGAATACTTATATATCTTTTCTGTCTTCCCGGTCTTTTTATTTGCTGATTTCATTATACAACTTAATAGGAGTCGCAAAGTAAACCACAATCAAAAATGAATAATCAATTGTCTCTCTGCCTGCCTCCTGCTCCTCTTTACTTTTTTATGTATTGTTTTATCACTAATTAACAAAACTACGCGACCTACCACAACCATCAACAACAAACCACCTACCTCTTAAAAAACCAAGGATACTCCGTCCCCCTCGAAAAACAAGGGTGGTCGTACAAGAAATGAACTTTGAAGCTATATTATTATGTATCTTATATAAAGGCAAGGGACAAAAGTTAACGAACATATTATATTATGATATATATATTTTTTTATATATATATATTATTAAACTGTTTTGTCTAATGTAAATGAATATGTAGTTTTTTATTTTGCAAAAGCTTTTTTGTACGGGAATTTTTTTGCTTCGATGTTACCAATAATCTCTTAGACTGAGTATCACGGGACTTTGCATACGATAAAATGATCTAAATGATATGGCGTCATCAGAATTCATAGGCTAATCAAAGCAGCAAAAGCATCATCCGATTTACTTTGATCAAAAATGAGCTGAGGATTAATTCATCTATTTTTCATGTTATTGATTTGCATACAGAATAAGAATCCATGCATATTATTGATCGATACAAACAATTGAATAATAGAAAATTCAGTTAATCACTCATGATCATGGTTACTATATTTAAACATCAAAAATCAAATCACCAAATGAAACGTTGCAATTTGCCTTCCTCCTGCTTCCAAACAAACGGACGCCATAAAAACAAAAAACAAGTAACAAAATTCACACACGTATACAACAGAAACTCTATAACTAGACGTTGTGCGCCTGGCGCAGTATTAGTTGAAGATGACGTAGTTGGCTGTCGAATATGTAACCTGTAAATGAAAAAGGGAATAATAAAGTACCGAAATTCTAGTAATGGCGATGGAATTAATGAGAGACAGGTGCCGAAAGTGTAGATCAGGATCCATAGAAAGGATTGATTATTTGCTTTTTTTTTTGAAGTAACAATAAAATTAATATTTTATTATGGTGAAAGATGGTATTAAATAAATGATCTTTAAATATATTTACCTAATGAAGCCCATAGGATTTTTGTAAGAATCACGTAAACGGGGATCAATAGGTATTTGACGCTTACGTGACGACGATAAATATTCTTCCATACATAAAAAGTGTAATGACGATTATCACTAAGCAGGAAGGGATGTTCATACCTATCAAAGAAAAATAATTATTGGTATTTTCTTTTTTATTAATAGAATAATAAATACTTTTGACTGCTCACGTGTATCTGTTAATCAAATATGTCATTATTCCCATTATTGACCACAATAAGACCGTTTTCCTTTAAATTCACCAAAATATTAGTATTAAGCTCATATCATATACCAAAGGATAGAAAATTTTTTCCAAGTACAAACCCAGGAAATCGAAAATTCAGGAAGTCAAGCATCAAATTGAAATGGTCGAGCCGGAAAACAAGCGGTGATCCAAACCCAAAAGTAAAGCAAACGAAATAAAATATTTGCGGAAAATGAATTCTTGCTATGTGATTTGACTTATCTCCTGATATTTTCATGTAACACAATGAGCATTAGCAATCATTCAGTTCCTTTAATAAAACAAATTGTTGGCAATAAATACCCAAGACAACGCCACCGTTCCATTTAAGAAATATCGCAAACCCAATCAGACTGATCAGAAATGGGAAAAAAGATTTCAAAAGGAATATTACATTTTGTAGTGCCAATCGAACAAGATTTGCGATTTGTTGAAAAGCTTGTTCTGCATAATAAAAAGAGAATAAATTTTGATTTATCACATTTATAGAAAGAATTACAATTCATGTCATAATCTTTTTACCTTACCCAACGAATCTATATTTATAGCTTTGACTATCAATAATCGTTTATTCCCATCAGATTTTTGATTTTTCTCTGTATCAGACAACACATTCACAATCGATACGCCCAGTATGAAAAGTAACCAAATTACATTTGTTTGTCTAAAAAATATACTGGTTGTAGCCATCTGGTAATAAAGTAAAAAAAATTTAAGTTTCACTTCTTTTCTAAATATGAATAATAATTGATCGGATAAATACCAAAGCGCTAGTCTTTATCTTTTTCTCAATGGCCATCAAATAAGCCAAGAGCACGAAAAAAGTAGATCCGGAATCGGTATAATACAAGAAATTATAAAACCACCCAACCGGAAATAAACTCAGTGTGAACGCATTGAAACTACGAATATAATCGTTTTGATATGGATGCAATCGTGCAAGGATTCGCCATATCACCAGATAAAGACCAAGCGAAAATCCAAGATTGATTGCACGCAGAATCGAAGTAGAGCAATTAAGAAATGGTAAAATGATGATAACGTTGCTTATCAAATATCTGTAAATTCACGATTAGTGAACACTATTTTTATAAATTGTATGATGGATGCTATTTTAAGTCATAAAACAATTCATTGTGTTACACATACAAGCCTGGAGGTGTAGTTAATTTCGGGTCCCAGCTCCGATAATCTCCTTCGCAATAACGTTGGGCCTGTGGTATATGAAAAATTTCATCCTTTCTCGGCCAAAATACATTTCCAAAGCTACTCAGTAACTCAACAAATACCAAATACCTTTTCTTGTCAAAAGGTAAAATCAAAATAATTGCTGACTGACATTCCGACAACTACCATGTATGGTTCTGAAACCCTTTTGTTAACTAGAACTGCAACTAACGACAATAAGATTGCATGAAGTGCAAGGAAAACGTATTTGACCATCATTTTCCCAATTTTGATGTTTGCGTTCGGCTAGTGATGTTAAAAAACTGGTCTTTTGAGTCGACTCAGCCTGTGACCGAGTTGAGTCTGTTTTCTGAGTGTCTCAATGTTCACATGATTTAATAGTGATGATCTTAGATATTATTCATCATTATTAAAAATTCTACTTCTGTAGTTGAGTGGGAAATAAAAAAAAATAAAGTTATTATCTATTCCCAAAATGACGATAATGGAGAATGCAATGTTGATTGGGTGATTTACAAGTAACCTGATCTTTCACACGATCATTAATTACTACGAGATTTGAATGAGTAAATCTATGTCAACTGCATTGAAACCTTTCGACAACAACACATGACACTCATTTTTTTGACTATATATCAAGCCCACATCAAAAATAAAAACACGAACTTTTTCTTCTAGATTAGAATATCAAATACACTAAATTATTTTTTTTTATCCAAACGAAAATTCAAATAAATAAAATGCAACACATTAAACAAAATGCCGCGATAGCAGCGATAGCACGATATAATTCACGACAACTAATATCAAATAGCATAGGCGCTAAAACTTCAGTATTAAATTCTGCCAATGGCGGACTTTCAGCAAGCAACCGAGGGGGCGCGACTGTAGCTGGTAAACTACACTCTACACGATATGCGCAACAATTTGGTGTAAGCACCTCGAACACCTCGATACAACAGCAAAAAAAACAAAAACAAGGCGGTATACGGATAAATCAATGGAAAAAGTCAAATATCTACCAAGACCTCGCCAACAAACGGTTTAATTCGACTGTGGCATATGATAATAATTCTGTTCTAAATGAAGTTCCGCCGGTTGACATGGTACATTTAGAGTATGGAATCAATTGGCTTCAACGTATAAAAAAAGGAGTAGAGCAAAATAATCTACAATCTATACTATACGCATACAATCAATTAATAAAGACTGGCGAACCTATTTCGCTACAAACTTATAATTTAATATTGAATGCAAATCAAAATCTACGAGCGGAGGGCACACCAATATACCGAGCATGGGAAATTTACAATCACATGCTCGAGAATAACGTCGAGCCAGATGCACAGACTTATTCAATAATGATGAACACCTTGGTGAAACGAGGTTTAGAAGTGCAAAAGACTTATGATTTTCTCGAGGCGAAATTGAAACGAGAAGACGGACAAGAATCGGAGATTTTGGAAAATATTCGAGAATTGAACGAGGAAAAGAATTTTGAGGCTGCAATCGATATTTTCAAGATGTCAATAATGAAACCTGGTATTAAATATGATGCGCAACTATGTACTACATTAATACGTGCCATCGGTCCATTTGGTAAGGCGGAAGATGCGTTGACGGTGTATGATTACATGGTTAGAGAGGGAATGCCGTTAACATCATGGACATTCAGCAGTGTAATTGTAGCATATGGACGTATTGGCGACCTAGAACGTTCACGACAATGCTTAAAAGAGTATGAATCCATGTATTCTGAATTACCAACACAAGATAGAAATGATGTTTATCATAGTCTGATTAATGCTTGCGTTCAATGTGATGATATTCCAGGTGCGATAGAAGTGATTGAAAAAACGATACCTGAAGCAGGTCTGACATCTGATATGAGAACTTATGGAATGTTTATTCGTAATCTATTAAAAAAGGGTAATTTGGCAATCGCTGAAGAATGGCTTCAAAAAATGGAGACTGAGATTGCAAGGCCTAAACCCAATCGTCATATTTATGAGATGTTTCTGATAGAATATGCCACTTCAGGGAATTATCAGGAAGCAACCCGCATCTATAATAAGATGTTGTTGCGAGGTATTTATCCGCGTTATACCGAATCTTCCGCTTACCTAAAGGCTGCAATCAAACATGATCCCGAGAATATTCCAACACTGCTAAATACGATGTACGAAAATCAACAAGTACCTGATTCTATTTTGACTCAACATCTGGTCAAATATTATTGTGATTTGAATAAATGTGGAGACGCTATTGCAATTTTGGAAATCTTCTTTCGAGTTACAAAGGAGGATAGAAAACTTCGTCTTCCGGCAATAATAAGATTGAAGCCAACCATTCTTTCCATATTTGATCAACCTGGACTTGAATTCAAAGATTGGGAAAAGCTGTTACAAATATGGACCTATCATGCAGACTTTCGTCCAGAAGTTGATACAAAATTGATTGAAACTTACGAAAACATGGTGGCTGAAAAGGGAATTGAAAGTCTTGAACTTTCGCCAGGAACACTTCCTTTACTCTTTAGTCTATATCTGAGTTTATACAATCGCGAGGTCGTAACCCAAGAAAATATAGATGAATTCCGGAAGAGAATTTATGGAATTCTTGATCATGGGAAACGTTATGATCAAAAACCTTCCAAAGATATTACGCAAAATATATATACTAGATTCAATGTGGTGAATCCAACACTCGCTGAAGAATGGCTTAGGAATGCAGCGGATCAAGATCGTAAACCAACCGAACTCGAAACTCACAAGTCGCTTGATTTATTGGCTAATTGTAATCACACCAAAAAACTCGATGCTGACGCCGTTGTTGCTCAAATCAAACAATTAGTGGCAGAAAATATTTTAATCACACCCGAGCCAATGTCGATAATGGTTCAGAACTTGGGCAAAGGAAAATACATAAATCAGGCCAAAGAAGTATACGAGATCGCCTTAGAGATAAGTAAAAAATGGGAGAAAACGCTCGGAGAAAAAGCAGAACTTTGGGTGCATAATAGCATGTTAATTGCTTATGCTTCAGTCGGTCAAATCGATAAAGCTTTGGAAATATATTATAAAATTTTGGAGAAAGGCAAAGCCCCTTCCTCGGATGCATACGCGAGTCTCTTAGTCGCCGAAACTGATGTTTACTTTGATGAAGCACAAGTAGCAATACAAATGTATGATGAAATAAAAAGATATGGAGTAAAATGCAACGTGTATTTTTACAATGTGTTAATAAGCAAACTCGGAAAAGCGCGTAAATACGAACTTGTATGGGACATTTACCAAGAAATGAAACAACGAAATATTCAACCAAATGGTATCACGTATGGAGCTCTGATAACAGCTTGTATTCGTGTAAGATCCGAAGAAAAAGCAGTGGCGTTAATGAAAGAATGGGAAAGTTCTCTATATTTCCAGCCTCGGATTGGTCCATATAACGCGATGATGCAATTCTATACATGGGATATGCCAAATCGTGAAAAAGCCCTAGATTATTTCAATTCAATCATACGACATAATTTGAAGCCTAGTGATCATACTTGGAAATTACTTATTGATGCCTATGTCCTAGTCGAACCATACGATATGGAGGCCGCCCATGGTGTATTTGACCAGATGCGACTACGTGGCTCACATCCAAATGCAACTCATTTCGCATCATTAATATACGCGTATGGTTGCAAACATGGTGATGTAGCACGTGCAATTGAAATTTTCGATTCGATGAAAAAACAAGTTATGCCGAATGAGATCGCGTATCAGGCATTATTCGAAAGTTTAATTGACGCACAACGAATTGAAGAAGCCGAAAACTATTACACGCGAATGATCGAGGAAGATAACGTGAAAACGACACCATACATTGAAAATTTGTTCATTCGTGGCTATGGACAATTAGGTCAATGGGAAAACGCGGAACAAGTATTTGAGAACATGGTTGACGCGTCTTCTAAAGAAAAAGGACAAGTGTTGCGTGAACCAAGCACTTATGAAGAGATGGTGAAGGCGTATGTAAAGAGTGGACAAGTGGAAAAAGCGAGAGCTGTCGCTGCTTCAATGGAGGCTAAAGATTTTCCACCAATTGTAAAACAGAATGTAGCTGATTTACTCCGATAAGTTTTATTGGACTTTATAATGAATAAATACTGTAATTATTGTAGAATAGTATATTATTCAATTTGCTGTGGGTATATATATTTTTATTAAATTTTGGATAAATTATTCTATATAAAAAAATAAAATTTTTAAAAGATTAAACCATATTAATTAACAACTTGTATATTAGCTGACTAATAGATCATTTTATTGATTTCTAATAAATATAAGATTATTAGTGAATTAAATAAGCAAGCAGATATAATTTAAAAAACTAATTATGAATAGTTAAAAACTAAGCAATAGACTAAATAGTCCATAAAAATGTCTTTTCTCAATTAAACCATGAAGAGTATAATTCTGGTTTATAATTTCACGCCCACTAAAGAAAAACTTTTGATTAGAAATTGTCTCAAAATAACATACTTAAATGGCAAAAAACTTTACCAGATCTCGAAGATAACGTTTTTCTTGGATCCAAGTTAAAAGTAGCTTTGAAGCTTCTACGCGATCCATATTACCGTGTTCGACCAAGATATCAGTTAAGGCGTCGTTAATCCCTTTAGCCATACCCTTTGCGTCACTATTTTAAAAAATTGTATATTAGATAACGTTAAATATAAAGTAAATAATAAAAGTATATTTATACTTGCCCACAAACAAAAATTAACGCCCCCTTTTGATTAATCAACTCGTAGACTTCTTTTCCACGAATCTTAATCAAATCTTGCACATATTTAGGTTTTCCAAGTTCACCAGCACTTGGAGCACGACTAACAGCAACTTCAAGTTGTTTTAAGACACCACGTTCCACAAATCCTTCTAATTCATCCTTATACAAGAAATCTTTCTCCCTGTCACGACACCCGTAAAACAACCAAAGATCACCAAATTGCTTATCGATTTCACGACGTGCATGTAAGCCGATCGTGGACATTTTTCGACGAATATCACGTAGTTTCTCTCGATGTTGAAGAAATCCAATGAATGGTGCTATGCCAGTTCCGGGTCCAATCATTATCAAGGGAATTTTAGTGTTCTTTGGAATGGCAAATCCATGCTCGTTTGGTTTCATAAAAATTGGAATTTCAACGGGCGAAAGGAGAGGCGTTCTAACGTTTGTGGTGGTTATTCGTCCACTTAATTCATCTAGCCATGGGGTACATATCCCCCATTTAGAAACAGCAAAGGGATCGGGTGTATTATAATGAACTATATTGAATGCTATGTGTAGATTATTAGGGTCTACTAAAGGTGAATTAGCAATCGAGTAATATCGAGGTTGATGAGGTGGTAAAACATCTAACAATCGTTCGATCGGCGGTCTCGATGAAGGAAAAGTCAGAAGTAAATCCAGTAGTGTAGGCAGTTGCTCACGTAGACAGTTGAATTGATTGATTCCTAACAACGTAAGTATTTAATTAGTCAGGGATTATGCTTTTGTAAGCCCTCTTAGAAATTAATTGATAAGCATGCCTTGTTTACTGCACAAAAATAACAGCGTCTTTTTTTCTTCGGGATCAGTCGCATATTCTGCCAAAAGCCTTAATAAAGCTTTTCGAGGTATAGAAGTCAAATCAAGTCCATAACGAAATAGTTCATAAACCGATGTTGATTTTGCATCTTTCAGATGAGTTGGAAGTTCTTTTTCATTTGCAAGCCGAGAGAAACAAAAGAAGGCGAATAATAAGTGAATAATTAAAATAAATGATATGAAATTAGGAGTGCTTTCTAATAAATAGCATATATAATACCAGCCCCTTCCATAGCCTCAATGTTAACAGTCTTTTGAGCTTCATCATGATCAATTCCAAGTGTTTTCAATAATGTCCAAACAAATTCCTCATCATTCGGTGCTAAAATACCAAAAACATCACCAGGCACAAATTCTATATCATCTCGATGATCTTTAACGTCCAATTCCAAATGTAAAGTTCTTTTTAACGCAGTTGGATGAGTTAAACAACGAACTGCCGAAATTTTTGCTCCAAAAACACGCGTTGGTGTATGTATAAAAGTTGGGATCGATTGAAAGCTGTATTTGTTTTTTGATAATGTCTTTTTAATTTCAGAATCAACTTTCGTTATTTTACATATTGCAGTGGGAATTCGTGGTAGAGAAGTCAGTTGTGTGACAGATTCGAGATCAGAGAGATCTATTATTAATTTTGAGCCTTTTCTTTCACTACGTATTGGAACAAGAGTTTTGTCGTCACTTGGTTGAGGATTTAACGTCGATTCTGATACTGTGACACCATTGAATGTATTCTCGGATGTGGCTACTGTTTTTGTTGATTCATCTCTTGTAACAATTGTCAACGAATTTTCTGGTTCTGTTTTTATTGATTGTAAATTGGTTTTATTATCTTTTACTTCTTTTACTGAAATGTTCGCTACTGAAGAAGCGATTTTTTCAATTTGTCCATTAGATTTTTTGTCTTTTTTTATACAGACTTTTTCTAAAGCTGGCCATAAATTTGCAATCCACGGATCAACAACACTCTCGAGTCTACATTAATAAAAATTTATCAGCGTGGAATTATATATTTAGAAAGTTAATACTTTAGAAAATACCCAGTTGCATCATCTGCCAATCCTTTTTCATAGAATGCGGCGCCTCCTAACTCTAAAAATCTTTTCTCCAATCGTTTGGCTGTATTGTTAAAATTCGCGTAATTTGTATCACCCAACCCTAAAAAATAGAATAATAAAAATTTTTTTGATCGATAAAAATAACACAATTAACGCTATATAAGGATAACTATTTACCCAAAATTGCGAATCTAGTTTTCGCAAAAAACGTTTTTGACTTGATCTTTCGCAAAAATCTAAAGAACTTTATAGCATTATCTGGTGGGTCACCGTCTCCCGTGTTCGAAGTAACTGCAATTAATACCTCGATTTTCTCCAAATCGACCTTTTTAATTGGATAATCAAAAAACAGATAATATTTACGAGTGGATCATGTATATTTAAATCTAAATACAATTGTACATTAAATAATAACCTTATCATGTTCATTCATAACATGGCATTCTCCAGAGAACCCCCGCTCATTTGCCTCTTGGTGAATATTTTTCGCGATCCATTCCGCGTTACCAGTTTGTGAGGCATACAATATGACATATTTTTCGCTCTTTTGCTGTATTATCGACATTTTATTGCGACAATTTCCGCGCAAAAGATAATAGCAATAGTTACGTGTTAATGATAATAAATTAATTTTTGGAATGTGCATAAAAATTTTTGATTTTTATTGATGCGAGAATATCACATGAATAACGATTCGTAATTTTAATTTTCTATCCCATAATTTTATATCTGAGGATCTGCATATTATAAAAATTTCATATAAATATCAAAATTCATATAATAACTATGTCCTCTTCGGAGTGACACTTATTAAAATTGGAACGATACAGAGAAGATTAGCATGGCCCCTGCACAAGGATGAC